AATCACAGTTCCATTTAACCAGGTGTTGTTTTGAAATTTACGAAAATCTTCACCATACAGAGTCACACACTTATAGCTAATACTTAAAACTTATACTAATTAATAATTATTGTTTGTTTCAGAAGTTCTAAGAACTTATACCAAAGTATAATATTATTTTTGTATGGTGGAGTCGCCACCTATAGCCACTACCCCTTCTATGGTCAGTCATTTATATTTTATTTGAAAATAGTGTAATTTTTTAGTTTTTTTAACACTTTGGTCATTGTTGTATTCATCAACACCAATGTATTAAATGGGTGATAAAAAGTATTAAAAAAAACAGTTGAGAACATTGTTATAATATTTTTCAATATCTTGTTTGTCACTTTTTCATTCATCGCTTAACAAAATCTTTAAGAATTAAAAATGTGTACTTCTGAATTTATATAGCCATATAGGTGGTATTGATGAAACTCTATTTATTTTAAAACCCATAGATCTATCTCTTAAATATTACCAAGTTTTGATTATTAATTTTATAATATTGTTAAAAAGTTGTTGATTTTATTTATATATTTAATCAGATTACGTAATTTGTTTTTTTAATAAAAGTTTCTGTCAAATTTGTTTGCATTTAATAATTTCATTAATCTACTTGTATTATTTATCACAGTTATGTAGGTATTAATCTAAAGAATATATAGAATAAATTAAATAAATAAATTGAATAAATCAACAGAAAAAAATCTTAAGGTGGCCATGGGTGGTGACTACACCATACAGTTAATGAACAATAACAACAACATTCAGATTAATACTTATAATTTCAATCCATAGTGCAGTTTGCACGATTTGAATCTAAATAACTAAACTTATAGATATTTATTTATTTTTACAATATATTTTGGTAGTAGTAAAGTAATTTTAAAATACAAAATACTAAAAACCTTCTACTCAAAAATAGAAATTGTTAATAGAACATTAATTTCTTTTGTTGCCTCCAAATTGTGAAGATAATAATGAATGTATTTATCTAGTTATTATTAGGTACAAGCTTAGGACACTACACACTGTAACAGGTTAAATTGTAGTTATGGCTAATTTATAATGCTTAACTCTTAAACATAAATATAATATAGTCTATATATAAACTTACTATACTATTTTGTATTGTCATTATGTATCCAACATAAATATTGTGAGCATTAATCCAATCCACTTCACCAAAAGCAACTATCAGACGCTGCACAATTATTTTCGGTCTTTAAGTGTTTTGACCAACAAACTCATATTCAAACAAATCTAAATTAAAATGTGATTAATCTAAACAACAATTATAAATATTTAATTTAAATTACTTACCCTGGTAGTGTTTATTTTCATTTAGTAAGGATTAGGAACTTCATTGCATCAATATAGCGTTTAAAAATATTATTCATTACTTCTCTAATATTGATGATTATTACAGCATTCTATCCATCAAAGATCAAACAAACTGTAACAAAATAAATTAAATAAAAATAATAAATTAGATAGGTACCTACTGAATATATTTATTTAGTAATTAGTTAGATGTGATTGCAATTTGCAGGTATGACTGGTGTGAGTCATTGTCATAATATAATATGTAATATATTTTTTATAAGCGTAGAGCGACTAGCGAAAAGTCACACTTATGATTAGTTATTTTATCACTGTCAACAAATTAATTTAATTATTTTTATCAAAAACACCCATCTAGGTAATAATTGGTAGGCATTTTACAGGTATGTACACATGTACAATATTTACTTAAAACCATATTATATATTAAGATCATTATTATAGTAGGTATACAATATTATGTAATTACACGTTTTGTTATGCAGCTCTCCAAACTATTAACTTAGGCACGTGATTACGTATAACAGTCGTGTAATTATTAACTTTTAAAACTTAAAATTATAATAAACATGTAGGTATATATACTATATAGCCATATGGTGTGTACTGTGTAGCCGTGTAGGTCTCAAGTTCAGTATTTGATCCGAATATCTTGTGTAATGGTGTATTAATATTAAATATTCATGTGACAATATTAGTGTGTTGCAACTTGCAGCAGTACATACTGCATAGTGCATAAGCATAGACAAGAATACTAACTGGCAACTGCCATAACTGAATTTCTGCATAGTGCATACGCTACGCTCGCCGGTACCGCGGTCTGCGCCCTGTGTGGCTGTCGGCTGTGTGTTGTTTTCTGTATTGTCATTTGTCACTTTATCTATGAGAATGGGTTGTGGCGCGAGGAGTGAGGAGTGAGGACTGCGGTCGCGGCTAATTCACTGATAAACTGAACCGTTGGTAGTTAATAGTTACATAGCACATAATTTGACGGAATTACCCCTCAGCCGTCAGGGTTTTTATTTTTATTCTATTTGACACTTTGGTCGGTACTGGTGGGTGGGCAAATCGGCAATAGACCGAAATAGTAAATACTAAATACTCAATATTGTGTTTGTGACTTGTGTTACTAAGTAATGAACGTCATGTTCGTTTTATAGAACAATATTCGTACGAACATTCTAATCCAGTGGCGTACTTAGGAATTTGGTTTGGGGGGGGGGGGATATACGTTTTTAGCAAACATGAATGGTCATTATCAATACGTTGATCAAAAAGTTAGCAGTAAAAAAAACTTTTTGGGGGGGTCTAAAATTATCTTTGTTTTTATAGGAGTTTTTACTGTAGTTAAATTTTTTAGCAAGTTTTACGTATATAATATAGCGTTAATTAAAAAAGCTCATGACTAAAAATCATGTTTCATAATAGGTCGATTCATTCTAATTTTTAAACTATAAAAAAAAAATAGAAAAGCTTAATATTTTATGCTGAGCTTAAATTTCCTATGTTACTCTCTTGTAAGACAGAGAAAACAAATGCCCGTGTGGCCGTGTTACGTTCTCTTAATATTTTCATTTATTTGAAGATCACGTATCTGTTTTCAATTTTGCTCTAAACAATTTTGAAAATGTACATGTCCAATTATTTCCATTATTTTCTTGTTGACAAGTCATTTTACACATTACACACAATTGTTTACTTGCCTCATATTATTTATAATAAGTCTCATCAAAATTGGTATATTTTGTCATCATTTTTACGGCAGTATACATTTCAATATTTCTATTACAAAAATCAATTTTAGATTCTGAGTGGAATGATGAATGTATTGATTTTACATTGATGTGTGTTTTTTTATGTGTTATTATTTATTCATTTTTGTGTCTGTCATCACGGTTTTGGGCCGTAAAACTGCTTCGATTTTCTTCAAAAGTATCTTGTTCGATGGAAAACTGAATCTAGTTGGTTCATTCGGGAGGTCGTATACATTTGAATATTATTTTGTTTGAATGTTTTTGTTGATGTGATAATGTGAAATTGCTTACTTATTTCTTTAGTTATTACTCATTAGCGTGGTTACTGGTTATTACTTCGGCCGTACATGTTTTCGCCCAAAATCGACCCAAAATCGAGTAATTTAGACAGAATGTAATTAAAAATATATTTACAAGAATACTTCCAACTTCCACAGTCTTAGTAAAGTATGTAATGATTATATTTTATATTGATACATATTTCTATTAATCTATATCTAATATATCCAAGTCAATATATCATTGCTTAATGTTACGTCGTTCTTTTTATTGTTGCTCAAGGACTATTTTTTTGGTTAATTGCTATGGAGGCCCGGCATAGAAGAACCCAGTCAGCGAAGTTGATCAATTTTTTCTAGAAAATATAATACATTAGATACTGTTAGTTGTTAAAGCAGTACAAGTAATTTACCAAAGGATTCATCTTCTTTGCCATTACGTCCCTATGGCATGCAGCCTGACTCAATAGAAGTCAAACTCTAAAGTAATACGATGGTTGCATCATGTAAATAAACACAAGTTAGTATACCATCCAGACACACTTTCTTGTTCACAAAGGTGGTAACCATAAGCTATATTTCATAATATGTTTAATGTTTATAATTGTTTACTTATTATAGTATTTTATTAATATAATTTTATTTTTTTGTAGTTTTTTTTAGGTAGAACATGATGAAGAGCAAAATAATGAGATTTCTAGCAGTGGTATAAATGATGAAAATGTTATTATCAGTGGCGGCTCGTGGGTGCTGGTGGTGGGGGAGCGACTTTAAATATAATAACGATAGTCATAATTATAACAAATTATCAAATTAAATATAATAAACTGAAACACAATACAGTATATACACATTATTATTTTAAATTAAAATTATCAAAAATAATATACATCCGACTACACGCAGGTCGCAGTAGAAAATGAAATTAAAATAATAATAATAGCTATTGCCTATAACTTTGACAGTTCCAAACAAGGTTAGGTTTTAGAAGATTGTACATAGTAAAAATAATAACTACTATTATTATTGCTTGAGTCGTTACACCGACGACACATATCACACGTCGATCAAACAAGATAGGTACATACAGTGGATACCAGATGGAACAGTATTATATTATATAAAAATCGTGACATTTAAACACGCAATAGAGTGCGATTATATACAGTGTGTTCACGGAAACAGGGAACACTTAATAACTCATTACCCTGTAAATATTTTTCAATTCTGCTTGTGGGGCATTCAACTAGACTAATAGGTCATACATTCCTATAACTAATAATTTTTTTAACTCATATAGTTTGCGCATGCGCAGTACATTATCCTTTTTTTTAAATTGTAACACCTGTTTTGAACACTATATTTGGATAGGCCTATTTTTTATAAGTAATTTTGATGAATCAAGTATGGTTCTAAATTCAAAATTGACTGAATAAGAGCCATGTAAATTTTAATAAATAATACATTTTTTATTATTTTTAAAAATTTGTAAAATCATTTGTAATTAATTCTTATTGTTCTTCTTTTAATATGAGTACAAAATTATTTATTATAAACTGATAAGGTACAAGTGAACAACAGTTTTTTATAATTACACAATTAATTAAATAAATTGTTCAAAGTTTGCTCCGTGATTTTCGACGCATAATTGAAAGCGTTGTAGACATCCTCTATTGGTTGCTGACATTATTTGATTTTCGGTAAGGTTATTACAGGCAACCACGATTTTATTTTTTAAATCGGCTAAATTTACTGGTGGATCTGCGTAGACTATTGTTTTCAAATGGCCCCATAAAAAAAAATCAAGTGGAGTAATATCTGGAGATCTTGCTGGCCATTCAATGGGACCATAAGTGCCGAACCACTTTCCCTCATATACTCGATTTAAATGATCTCGAACAATATGAGCATTATGAGCAGGAGCTCCGTCATGTTGAAAATAAAGGGTTTGACGTGTAGCTAATGGTAAATTTTCTAACATCAATGGTAAAACATTTGTTAAAAATGCTAAATATCGTCTTGCATTTAAGTTTTCTTCATAAAAATACGGACCTAATAATTTGCCACCTATAAGTCCACACCAAACATTTGTACCCCACACAGTTTGGTGACGGCTATCCACTGCCCAATGAGGATTGACATCTGACCATAAACGATTGTTTTGCTTATTAATAACTCCATTATTCGTGAATTTTGATTCATCAGTCCATAATATCTGATTTAAAAATAACGGTTGTGTATCGATTTGAACGAGCAACCAAGCAATGAAATTTAACCTTCTATCTGGATCTGTAGGTCGTAAATGTTGAACTAATTCAGGTTTGTAAGGATGTAATTTGTGTTTTTTTAAAATTTTATGCACAAGGCCGAACGATATTCCAACTTCTCTACCAACATGCCTAACCGAAGATCGTGGATTCAATCTAATATATGCTAAAACTTGAAGTTCTACATCATCATTAATATTATTTTGTCTAATTTGTTGGTTACGGACTCCTTTTACAGAAAATGCTCCATGGTTAATCAATAATTTTTCTATTTTAATGAACAAAGTGTGTGGTGGATGGTACCGACCTGGGTATTGTTCAGCATACATTTTTGCTGACTGACGAGAGTTTCTATTGCATCTACCATAAATTAAAAGCATTTGTACTTTTTCTTGGTTGTTCATTTTAACTTAACTACTCGCACTATGACAATCAAAACAAAAATGATTCACAATATCTACATTTTAGAGTATAAAATTAATAATCAAAACGGTTTATCTACTTATAAATAATTACGAATTGATAGGTAGGTATAAATAATTTATCACTTATCGATATTATACATCTAATAATAGTGCATATTCATGTGCAATAAATGCATATTATTATTATTATGACTTATGATTATCTAGTATTAAATTACCTGAAAAACTATGCTAATTAACATTATCTTATTATTTCAAACCTCGATAACTTTATATTTTATAAAATAACTGTTGTCTGCTTGTACCTAATCGATTTATAATAAATAATTTTGTACTCATATTATGTTAGTCTTCTTTATAACACTTAAAAAAAATACGTACAAATATTGAAAAAGTAACCAATAAGAATTAATTACAAATGATTTTACAAATTTTTAAAAATAATAAAAAATGTATTATTTATTAAAATTTACATGGCTCTTATTCAGTCAATTTTGAATTTAGAACCATACTTGATTCATCAAAATTACTTATAAAAAATAGGCCTATCCAAATATAGTGTTCAAAACAGGTGTTACCATTTAAAAAAAGAATAATGTACTGCGCATGCGCAAACTATATGAGTTAAAAAAATTATTAGTTATAGGAATGTATGACCTATTAGTCTAGTTGAATGCCCCACAAGCAGAATTGAAAAATATTTACAGGGTAATGAGTTATTAAGTGTTCCCTGTTTCCGTGAACACAC